GCTTTGCCTTTTCCTCTTCTCTGCCCTCTACCACAGCTTTCCCGGTCTATGCTGTTGCAGTGTTTCTACTGCGCTGTCCCTGCACGGGACTGGTCTCCCCGGAGAGACTCGGGCTACAGAACCCGAGTCTGTACCTCGATCCGCACCGGAGAACCGACGGTACCACACATTCTCTCGTCCTTTGCCTTTCCCCTCCCCAATTCTCGCAGCCCCTTTACACTACCAACATCTGCCATTCCCTTAATCTTTTCTTCGGTCCACCTGGCCGATTGTTGTTATGGCCTTTCGGATTCCGCAGATAATCGTCGATCACATCGCGGCTCCTTCGAAGCGCCCTTCGTATGCCAGAATTACCCCATCTTGCCAATGCAAGTGCCGCAAGTTTCCCTTTCTCTTCTCGAGGTAGGTCTCTGCATCGTCCCATTGAAAGTCCTTTCCTGCGGTGAGCAATATTGAATGTTTCATTTCTGTTAGTTTAGTTGTTAACATTTGTGGTCGCTATATAGTATTTTCACATCGATACTTTTAGAATGCCCTTGCAATGTGTAACCGGTCAAATGTCACTTTCAGGTCGGTTGTAACGTTGACGGTAATATTATAGCAGTTTTTAGTGTATTTCTAAACGTCTTGGGTGCAAATATTTCTAAATCGTATTAAACGGCCAGAAGCTAAACATGGAGTGGTTATTGTCTATATATATGGCACGAGTCCGACATTTGAGATTGTCCTCTTGTATTACATCTTTGGCCATGTGCCTTTTTTCACATGAAAAATAAATGAGCGAGTTTTCCAGCGCAAAATAATTCAGCCACAATTTCTGCAGAGGGATAATTTTCGATATGTCCAGCGCCCGTTTCATCGCAATAGCTTGCTATGAACAAATTTTAATGCTATGAATACAGCTCGGTCTATATTTTATCACATATTAACGGCCGACCCAAACGAAAAATGCGGAACGAAAACGAACTTACTCAGCTTCAGCAAGGGCAATTACCGGCGTGGAATGGTGAGAGAGTCTCAGAGGGAGAGGTGGTTACACTTTTTTTCAAGTCCCACCAAGCCGTTTAAATCTTTTGATCGGACCCTGAGCGTACAAGACACGCTTGCGGGCTGATGGCTGCAAAAAGTGTCACCTACACACTGCGGCCGTGTTGCTTGGGAAGCAGCAAAGGTACAGAAAAGGGCAGCAATAATTACCAGAGCTTGAACGTTCCATGAAAATGCTTCGTGCTGGATTGCTGCCGACGCCAACTTCTCTTCTATAGTACAGAAAGGGAAAAGAAGTTGTCCCTTTCACACCAATGCATGGTGCTATTACTGTAAGAAAGACGCTGGAGCTAGCCGCATGTAGCATGCTTAGATGGAACCAAATAGTCTTGTCAGTCGCTTAAGAGATGAGCAGCCTTACATTGTAGCGAAAGACTCGAACTCTCGCCAGAGGTTAACAGTGGGGGTGAAAGTGATAAGAATTTGGCGAGGGAGGAACCGAAAGCTAGCATTCTCCCAGTCCCTCCTCCGTTCGTCTAACTAGGAGGGGGGAGCTTCAGGTGCAAGACACAGAAAAAGGGGAACGACGGCGGATCTAGAATGCAGATTTTTGATCTCGGTCGTGCGAAAGCACAGTCGTGCTGTTCACAACATTCTCCCTGTCACGCCAGCCGGATTGACGATTTAATACCACAATATAAAAGTGAACGTGAGTACACCACCAGGGTTCGAACGTATGTTGCCGTTTTGAAACGTTATTGACTGTGAGTGCGACATTGCCCCAGGGCCACCTCACTCGACTTATATCGAGTGACAAGTGCCCTGGATAGGCGGAACTAATATTTCAAACCGTCAAAGGTACTAGGGGATGAATTGAACTCGCGAACAAAAGAGAAGGGTGGTAGGGGAGTGGAGGCACACTACCTGTGCCGGAACCCCTCTCCCGTTGCACACCTCTGCAAGTGCGCTACTACCGTCATTCCGGGCGGTCGCCAGTAGAACATATCTGGCCTCTTATATACCCAGGGCTTCAACATGTACAAGTTCTTCTAGACCTAAAAGGTCATTGCACTGTAATCTATTCCGATTAAAGGGGAGAGGCTGATGTCAAACACTGGTCGGTAGGGTGGGGGAAAGAGAGACACATTTCAAAGGCCTCTGAATGGTATGCCGCTTTCTGCTCGTAAATGAAGGATGTTGCTGAGCGCCACGCTCGCAATTTCGACGGCAGCGGTTGATACCATTACTGTGATATATGATCTATTCTTTGATGTTATCATACGCGTCGACCAAGCCAACTTCAACTCGCCCAACCCCACTGTTGTGTGGGGTACAAGGGGAGGCGGTTTGGTTTTCGTTTTCTGATGGGGAGCGTGGTGTTCGGTGGTGAGGTCAGGTCGAGTGGTGCCCCCTCCCTCCAACCGCCGCGCCCGACACCTTCCACGCTATTATTCCTTCGCAATTCCTTCTAGAAGTGTCCACGCGTCCGGCCCAGATTCCCCAGGCCGTCCGCGTGCGCTTCTCTAAAATTCATAAAAAATTTCGGACTACAGTATAAAATCTCCCTCTCAAGTAAAACGCAATTTTTCCTAAAATTCTCTCACATGACTCCCTCGCCAGCGCAGCCCACGGGGCTGCCGCTGCACGTGATTGTACATACCCCGCTTCCCCTCTTGACCGCTCTGCCCCCCCGGCCACCGTCTCTCCACCTCGCCACTGAGCCGCCTTCTTCGACGCGGTGCCCACTTCACACTACTTCATCCGCCCACGCCGCCGTCTCGCGCCGCTTCGCCCGTTCGCCCGGCTGCCGTCTTGCGCCGAAAAACTCGCTTCAGCCTCAACTTCGGACGGCGTGGTCTCCCCGTCGCCCGGACTTCTAGCTGTCCACGTTTAGCGTCGCCGTAGCCTCGGGCCGCGTGGTTTCCGCGTCTCCAGGGTCTCCGGCCGCTAACGTTCAACGCCGTTTGAGCCTCAGGCCGCGTGGTCTCCGCGTCATCTGAGCATCCGTTTCTTGTTGTTCCCGTTTCGGGACACTTCTTGGAAACGCGCCCCGTTCCGAGCCACCCACGAGTGGTCTGTGGTCCATCAGGCGGTACTGCCTGTGCGAAATGGCTCGGACAAGGCAGACGGCCAGGGCTTCCACCGGCGTGAAGGTCCCTCACCGTGTGATCGCCACCAAGGCTGCCCGTCGTTCGGCGGGATTGTGGCCCGAGAACGGGCAAGACGTCCGTGAAAGGCCGTCGCACCGTATCAACCGCGAATTCATCGACTTCGAGGACAGGAGAATTGCCGAACATCTTTCAAGTCTCTGGGAACACGCGGGGCGTTCTGACATCGCCGCCCTACGTTTCCAGATAGAATGTGGTTCGTTCCGCATCAAGTACAAGGCCGTCGGCAACCGTGCCCCCATCGCGGCGGCCGTCTCTGCCGCCGGGGCTCGACTTCTCTTCGGGCCCCACGTGCTGGCATTCGTCGCGGCTCGTCGGTCCCGGAAAGCTTGGTTCACTTCTGACCGTGGCTTCCGGCTCGGGCTCACCGAGAGCCACGGCGACGACACAGAGTACAAGTGCTGCGACGACCCGGATTGGGGCGTCGAGCTGGTTTGGTGCTCCGACGGCGGCAACGGCGAAACCGAGGGGTGCTATTACGCCGTGGGGGAGGAGAGTCACGATAAGTACCTTATCCTACTCTACACGATGACGTTCGATCATGTACTTGGTGCGAACGAGAACGTCCGCCGGGGCTTCAACTCTGCCTTCGGACGAGACTCGTTGACGCGTACGGACGCAATCCTGGCTATCGACAACTGGTGTAGCCAGAATAGGGGCAAGAAGAAGCGCGTTAACTACGCCATGTCTCGCAATGTCTCTCCCTTGGCTTCCAGGTATTTCACCAGGTCTCAGCCCGTACCGTTTCAAGACAACACCATCCTCTGTCTCCGCTCTGCCGTCTGCGCGGCCATCTCCCTGGTCGCTGGCTGGCGCGCTGCCAACCGCGTCTGGACGGCGGAGTCGAAACGAGTCTCCGAGTTCGAGCGCCGAAAGAACTATTCGTCGAGCGTTCATCAGTTCAATCATGTCCAACGGGCCCTTCAAGCTGATTACCACGGCACCATATCCTTGATCCGGGATCACGTGAAGCCACCTCCTGGGTCATTCGTTCATGGCAGGTCCAGTTCCAGATCCCCGTTATGGCGTTCGGACGTCGGTTGGCTACTCCGCTTGTCCACAACTGTGGAAGCCGGTGTCTACGTCCTCCGCCTTAATGACATCCATGGCTTCCAGCACGCTATTTGTCTGAATGCACGGACAGAAATGGCGCTGATAAATGACTGTGCTGAGCGGTATGCCATCCAGCTCACGGGCAGTTCTCTCCGCTTGTGCTGCCCCGCCGGCGATCCGACCAAGTTTCAGTATTTCGACGGTATACGCGTCGTGCACGGAATGGCAAAGCGGGACAGAAGCGGCGGTAAGGGTCTCGGTCAGGAACACAAGAAGAGGGTTCGTCGTGGTAATCGTGGCCCAACCCTTCCGCATGGCAAGGGCCGTCGTGCGAAAGGATCCTTCAAGTAATCAACCAAAGATAGTTCATCCACAAGAGACGTAATTAATCTGATTCATCTTCAATGTAGTGCATGTGTAGGTAACCAATGCATCACATCTACATAAGCTGTGCGTGTTTCTGAATAAGAGGGATTAAACGCCTCGCATATATATCTCGTCGACTGTAACGCAAACCTGGCGACACGAGTGTGTACCGCGGGTGCTTTGCCCGTACTACCCGGCAGGGGCCGTAGTACTTCGATTCCCCTAAAGGCCACTTCTGTAGCCTTCCCAAGGCTGTTCTTCGGGCAACTAGAACCTGATCGCCTACTTTGAATTGGCGTTGCGAGATAATCGCCATCCTCTTGTTCTTTCTATCTAACTGTTTAGCGGTCCTCGTCGCTCGGAACGCGAGGGTCGCTATCAGTTCCAAGTTGCGACCCTCAACGCCACCCCACCGGAGATGTTTCGGATCGGTCTGAGGTTGCGAGAGTGGTTTCAATACATACATCAGTTCAAACGGGGAGAAGCCGTCGGGCAATCGGCGCCGACAGTACCAGTAGAGAATCTGTTTCAGCGTCGACTCCCATTTAGACGTAGCGGCGCCCTGACCTAATAGCATCTTCCGAATTGAACGCTTGATGGTCCCAACCATACACCTCGCTTTTACGTTAGACATGGGAGCATAGGCGAGCACCGGCTTCCAAGACATTCCCTGACGTGACATGAAATTCTTCAACGATGTCGCACTGAAACACAATGCGTTATCTGAGACTGTAGCCCGAAGGGGACAAAACGAATGGATGATCTCTTCCTTCACGAACTTAACAACTTCCGCAGACGTAGCGGTCTCGGTAGCCCAAGCCAGGGCCAACTAGTCAGATGTTCGACCGCTATCAGGATGTAACGTTTTCCGTTCTTCGTCTTGGAAAGGGGTCCAGCCAAGTCTATCGTGAATTTGTCAAGGAGCTGAAAGACCAGTATCACCGCCGTGCTCTTGTGCGTCGAGATGGGCGCAGCCTTTTGGCAGCCTTTACCTTTGCGGACATAGGCGTAGATATCGCCATGAACTCCCGGCCACCAGTACCTGTCAAAGACGAACTGCTTCGTGACTGTAGCGTCCCAGTGGCCAATATCTTCATGCAGCGAGCGCAATATATGCAGTCGAGTCTCTCGAGAAGGGATTGTTCCGATCCGGTTCTTCGTCTGGCGAAACAGCCTTCCGTTCCAGGCAAGGAACCGCCTGGAGATTTTCTTGATTCTGCGCCTCTGCGCAGCATCTTCCTCGACCATCTATTCGCCTTTGATATAACGGTACGTGTCCTGCACATTAAGTTCCATGTCTTCCAGTATATCTACTTTCGCAAAAGCGGCAGCACATACCAGGTATCCCTCATCCTCCTCGCGGCTGCCACCGTCTTCTTGAAAACGCAAGAGAAAGTCGGCGCCAGAATTCTTTGAGCCAGGCGGTACAATATCTCGAATTCGTACTCCGCCAGGAAATCCAACCAACGGGCAAGTCTACCGTAGAAGTCCTTCTTTTTGAATGCGTACTGAAGTGCCTGGTGATCCGTAATCAACTTAAACTTTTGCGTTGAGAGGAAATACACACAAAACTTCTTTTGCGCAAAGATCATCGCTAACGCTTCTCTCTCACAGGTGGAGTACTTCTTCCCAGTCTCCGTCATCGTCCTGCTGGCGTACTGTATCTGGTGAACCTTCTTGTCTTCCTTCTTCTGAGCCAGAACTGCTCCCGCTGCAACGTTGGATGCATCTCTATCGACCACGAAGGGCTCGTCAAATTTTGGGAGCGCCAACAGCGGAGGAGACGTCATTCTCTGCCTCAGCTCCCGGAAGGCGGTCTGCATCTCTTCCGTAAATTCAGATTTGACTTTGCTAGAAGTAGCAGCGTGCAACGACGCGGGGACTTCTGCGAACTTAGGGATCAATCGGCGGTAATACCCCGCTAGCCCAAGGAAGCTTCGTAACTTCGTCTTGGTGCGCGGCTCGGGGGTGTTCCAAATGATCGATGTCTTCTCTGGATCCACCTCAATCCCGCGCCGATGGAAGCATTCTATCCAGTGGAATGGGAGGCGGCAATCTTTCAGGGGGTCGGCGAGGGAGAAATCACCTTGCAAGTCTACCAGCTGCCGGGATCGCGAGATTTTGATCAAGGCCGACCCCCGCCGCCGTGCGTGGTGCCAGCGCGACGCAGGGCATTATCAAGGCAGCTGCAAGAAAATGAAGTGGCTCGACACGTCCTGGAGTTTATGATGCGGCACAGAGGGGTGGTAGTCCGGGTTTCAGGAATTCGAGCACGTGAGGCGGTGGCGTGGGGTGTGTCTAGCCTACGGCACGTCCACGGACAGCCAAGGTGCACTTCTAAAACCCACGATTGTGTGAAGGCGTCCATCGGTAACGCCGAATTTGCATGCCGTGGGCTAGGGGCAGCACAAGCATTGGAGCAGACATTGCAGATGGAGTCGCTTATACTTCATAATTTTAGGGCACTGGGTGAAATTTTTCAGACGGCGCTGGAATCGGTGACGGGGTGTCGTGTGGTCGGCAATGAAGAGGTCTAGAGGGCCATCCAGAGTAGCAAAAGGGAAGCACCCTTTCTTGTGCATGCAGCAAAGCGAACAGGAGTTTTTATTGTTCGAATGCAGGAGGAAAATCGCGTAGATCATGCAATCGTCGTTGATGCAATGAATGGGTCATAATTGACTCGGAGCGGTCATCCGCAGTTGCGCTTTCGGTTGAGAATCTGGCTCGATGCGGTGGGGGCAGTGCAGGGAATCTACGTGTGAGAGAGGTTCGACAGATAAAGGGGGGTAGGTGAGGGGAGGCATCGGCATGCCGTTGGAGAATAGCGTTGAGCCTTTCCCCTTCTTCGCTTATCTCACACTGATTTCTGGCTATAATATTTTTATTCTCTTCTAGGAGGGTAGGGAATGGCACTGGGCTCGGGTACCATCGTCATTGCGTTCCAGATGTGTGACTGCGTGTCAAGGTTGCAGAGCCGTATGGTACGTCCCATGACGATGGAACTGCCTGTTCCCCGTCTGCGCTCATTGTGACGCTCATTACCTCGTCTTCATATCCAGTCATAGTCTTGCCCACTTGTAGACAGATGCAGACAATGTCCCCTAAGTCAGATGCTTTTCTTGACCCGCTGTGTCGCACCTTCGAAGGATATCCGTTCCCAAACGATCCTTGACTGTTTACTGTTATTGTCTGGCGCAATTGCTTAAATAAGCGAGGTCGCGGGGTTTTGGAGAGTGTCCATTCTAGTGCAATACTGTACTCTACTGTGCAATGCACTGTAATTTGCCATTAGTACTCTTTTCGTCATATACAACCTCGGGGCTGTATTGTTTACAGTTGGTCGTCCGTCTGTAATACCCACGTGTTGTCCGTCCGTCTGTTCGGCACACATGTAGTCCGTCCGCCTGTAAGGCACACGTGTAGTCCTTCTGTCTGTAAGACACACGTGTAGGCGCCCGCCTGTAATGAACCTGTCGCGTCGGGTATTGTATAAATTACAAATCTTGACTGTGATACGACTGATGAGTGCGAGAGCGAAGCGTTTCTGGCTTGTGAAGGCAAGGGCGTCTGTTGGAGCTATTCGAGGGAAGGAGTTAGTGTTCAGGTGACTGTCACAGTCTTTTACGGAAGCTACGACTAGGAGGTTGTCGGGCCAGTAGCTGTAGATCGCCAGTGTGAGTTGTGTGTCAGAGATGTGAGGACCATCGTGGAGGAAGGGGCCTGTTTTAGGGAGGATGTGTTATGGGGGTCGATGGTGTTGTTGGGGGCAAGAATGTGACGGAAATGGGAGGAGTCTCGGTCGGAGAAATGGTGGTGTGATTTGGGGGTGGATCGGCCGTGGGCCGATTGAGTTGGATTTGGCATGGACAGATCGGTCTTGGGCCGGTTGAGGTGGATGTGAGGAGGAGTGGATCGACCGCCGGCCGGTTGGGTTAGGTGGGATAGAAGGAAAGGGGAGATCAAGAGTAGTAGTTGCGACGAAATTAAAGGGCCAATAACCTGTGGGAGAGACGCAAGACCTATTAGAAGATCAGCGGGATAGAGGGAAGAAGAATGGTTGAAGATTGATTGTGGTTGATGGAATAAGAATTTGATGCCATTTTGCTTTTGGTCGCCAACTATCGGCGCTACTTATACTCTTCGAAATACAGTACGGACTATTTAGGCCAGTAATAAAACCGCCACTTGTTTCTGAGTCTGAACACTGCATTACTTGTCGTCAACTGGCCGTTTTCTTATCGCAACGGACAAGTATTCGTTGACTTGTCCGATATTCTTGTCGTTTCTGTGAGTAATGCAACCGACACTGTAAACAGTAACGACACTTGTCCATGTCTACCAGCGTGCCACCACCGTGGCACATATTTCATACGTGTCCTACACGTGTAGGACCAATGTCATACGTGCCATACACGTGTCAAACCGAGAAAAATGAGACATGTTCAGAATGTACTGTAGAGTGCCACGGCGTACAAATATCGCACGAGTAAACTCCAAAAATGAAACTTGCTTGGAATTGACGGGAGAGTGCAGCCGTGTACAAATATGACATGTGTACAGGTTGATGAGCGAATATGCTTGGAATGCTCTTGTGAGCACTTGTGGTTTCGTCCATTTACACGTGTAACACCTGTCCAGGCTCGTGGCCCATCATGTGGTCGAAGATTTCCAACAAAACCTTGGACGTGTTTACTGAGGAAAGGAGCGACGGCGGTTCTAAGTATCTTGAGGGAGTTATGTACACGTGTAACATACGACATAGAGCATCACAGAACGTCTATTCTTTGCGCTGCAAGAATCACGACTCCTAGGCCTTTTCGCGGAAAGGAAATGGACACAAAAAAGAAATGTGTCTATTGCAATTCCTGAAAATATTGACTATATTACTGTATTGGGGTGTGACTGTACAGTATAGTATACAGTAAAGTACAGTGTAAACCTTTTGGGCGGGCAGGCAACAAGACTTGGTTTCAACTCATGACCTG